TCAGTTTATATAAAATTTTAACTAAATTTCAATTTCAATATGCTTTATATTAAAATGGATCAAAATGAGTTTTTTCTTTTCAAGGTAACTAAAAAAATCGACTTAGCTGAAGTTAATTTCTTTTCATATTATGGAAATTTTCATAACTAATCATAAATTACCATTTCATATTTTCCTTAAGATATGTTGCAACATTTATATAATTGTTAGATGAAATTCTATGTTATTTATATGATTTTTAGATGAAATTCCATGTAAAATTAAACGCAAGCAACACCCAAACAGCAAATGATAACTAACTCTCATAACGAACATTTATATGCTCCTACAACCGCCCACTATCATTCTGAGTTGTAATATATTTTTTCATTTTGTGTTTATGTATGTGTGTGTTTTATATTATTTTACTTTTTTATTTTAAATAAAAGAATGGTATTACCATGTATGATTTTTGTTTTCTTAAGTCTATTAACACTTTTATATTTTATTGTATAACATGATAATTTTATCATTAATCTTTATTTGAAAAACATTACTAATGTTTTGATACCATTTTATATGTTAATAAAAAATAACGATGATCGTCTTACGAACAAAACATCTAATGTTGTATGAAAATAATTATTTACAAGTTTATGATTGATGATTATGATATTTATAATCTTTATAATATTTTACCTTGTCAACCGTGTAGCACGCGGGTTATAACCTAGTGATAATATAAACATTCATTAACTTATTATTTTTTACATTAAATTTGATGGGAAGAATAGAATGCCAAATTTGGTGTTAAAGTTTTATTCGTTTTTTAGTTTAAGTTTTAATTTACGTATTTTAAGTAATTTAATTGTATAATTATATTTTAAATGCAATTTCAAATATATTTAAATGTTTTTTAATGTAACTTTTTTGTTTAATTAAAGAATATTATCACCAATACAACGATTAACTATAACTAATTATATACGAAATATTTGTTTGATTATACTTATTTAATGATATAATTTTTAAAGTTACTGTAACATGAGATGTAAGAAAATTTTAGAAAAAGATTTTATAAAATCTAAATAATTATTATATATATATTAAAGTTGTGGAAGAAAGAAATAGTAAAGTTGACATACTTTGTCCACGTTTGGCCCTTGATTTACATATCCGGTCCCTGTACTTCTTTAATTAATTTATTCATGTCCTTTTGTTTGTGTTCC